TGGCTATAGATAAGTCTATAGTCCAGACAATATAGACAAGACTATAGTCCAGAATATAGACAAGAATATAGTACAGACTACAGACAAGATTATAGTCCAAACTATAGACAAGGCTATAGTCCAGACTATAGACAAGACTTTAGTCCAGGCTATAGATAAGACTATAGTCCAGACTATAGACAAGACTATGGTCCTGACTATAGACAAGATTATAGTCCCGACTATAAACAAAACTATAGTCTGGACTATAGACAAGACTATAGTGCAGGCTATAGATAAGACTATAGTCCAGACTAGAGACAAGATTATAGTCCAGACTATAGACAAGGCTATAGTCCAGACTATATACAAATTTATAGTCCCGACTATAAACAAGACTATAGACAAGACTATAGTCTAGACTATAGACAAGATTATATTCCTATAGGCTATAGAAAAGACTATAGACAAGACTATAGTCCAGACTATAGACATGATTATAGTCCCGACTATAAACAAAACTATAGTCTGGACTATAGACAAGACTATAGTCCAGGCTATAGGCAAGACTATAGTTCAGACTATAGACAAGAATATAGTCCAGACTATAGACAAGACTATAGTCCAGACTATAGACAAGACTATAGTCCAGACTATAGACAAGACTATAGTCCAGACTATAGACAAGACTATAGTCCAGACTATAGACAAGACTATAGTCCAGACTATAGACAAGACTATAGTCTAGACTATAGACAAGATTATAGTCCAGACTATAGAAAAGTCTGTAGTCCAGACTATAGAAAAGTCTGTAGTCCAGACTATAGACAAGTCTATAGTCCAGACTATGGACAATAAGTCCAGATACAAATATATAGTATTTTATTGTCAAGACTTTAGTCGAGCCCATAATCCAAATACTTGTCCGGACAACAGTCCATACCATTTCGTATTTATTATACTCAATTTTAAAACGTTTTCCTGCGTTCCTAGTAATTTTAAAAGGTAACAATCTACAATGAAAATACATTACCATTAAAATTTATTGTATCTCACCCTTAAAAAGATCAATTACATTAAATAAATAAACGAACACAGCCAGAGACCTATAGACAGGCAGATAATTTTCATCAAGAGGGTCTTTTATTTATTATACAAAAATATTTATTTAAAGATTATTGTCTGTGTGTGCTTGTGTCTGACTGACACTGTCTAAGAGGGAAGTAAATTTTCGGGGTTATAATTTTAGGGTTACAACACACCACTTATTTATTTTACAAAGGTCGACAACAAACAAAATTTATTTATAACTGAATATGCAACATGTTGCCATTAGATGTTTGTAACATAAAGTGATTTTTATGCAAAAACAATTTTCATGTCTGTCCAGCTGTTGCCAAGGATTTAGATAGATTTACAAAACATTTGTGTGTCCATCTGTCTGTCTGTCTGTCTGTCTGCCTACTACAAACGTGTCATAATTCCAAATTGTTTTACTTATAATTTCTCTTAAAACTTTGAAATTGGATATTTATCTATAATTTAGGGTGTTATTTAGTTTTTTAGATTTTTTCATATTTCTCTATAAAAGAAAAACTTTAAAATCCTTCACATTACTGTTCTCTTTACACTTTATAATCTTTGTGTGAACCTAGACACATGAATGAATTTTGTATATAACCATCATACTAAAATCCTCATCATTATTATTGTTTTTGTCATTATGAACATGATAAATCCTGCTTATAATCTGTTAATGGTTTGAAGATTACAATTTTGTTTGATTGCTCCTCTACTCTGTTGCTTTGAGTATATGTAATCAATTAAATTCTGTACTGGATTGTGGCCAGAATACAACCAACAGAACAACAGACATATAGACAGACTGTAAGCCAGTCATTTTACCACAAAGAGTCTGTCTATTTCGACACCAATATGAAAAACTTTATTTTTTTTTTGTTTGTTTCAACTAGCAAAGTGCAGGGATTATGTTTATTGGAAAAAAAATTGATTGATAAAATATTTATAAAGTTAGAAGAGATAAAAAATTGAAAAAAAAAAGAAAATATATATAGAAAAAAATTATGTTTGTTTGTGATAAATGGAATAAATTTATTTTGTGTAATTAGGAGAAATTAATTCAAGAGCAGGAATGATAATATGTTTTTTATCAACCGGATACAAATGGAATAAATTATAAGATGGCATAACAAATGTTTGCACTATTGACTGGTTTATGATTTAGGTTGTAATGTATATTATCTGGCCTTTCATCTATGCTGTAATTTGGACTTAAAATAGCAAATTTTAGACTAAAACACCAAAACCACTAACAATTCCAGCCGGGGAAGCTTACAAAAGCATAAAAATTTAAGAACTTTAAGTGATTTTCTTACATTTTATCATTTTTCTACTAAAAATAACTTGAAATTGCATTTTGGAATATTTGGGGATTTTTTTAAAATTTTGGGAATTCAAAAATTTAAGGCGGGAACACTAGGAAAATTATAAAAAACTAAATCAAATCATTTATCTTAATAAATTATGCAATTTTATACAGAAAAAAAAATCGAAAAACGTGAAATTTTTCTTTTTTGGGAATTTTCAAAAAAATTTTTGGGAATTTGAAAATTCCAGACGGGGAGGTTTAATAAGCTATTTAATACTAAATGTTATATTAAATACACATTCCATTAACATTTTTTTACTAAAAATAACCTAAAATGGCATTTTAGAATATTGGGGTTTTTTAAAAAATGTGTGGAATTCACAAATTTCAGCCGGGAACACTAGGAAAATTAAAAAAGAAAAACTTTATAAAACTCTTTAATAAATTAAGCATTCTAATAAAGAAAATTTCGAAAAACCTAACATTTTTCTTTTGGGAATTTTCGAAAAATGTTTTGGGAATTTGAAAATTCCAGCCGGGGAAGCTTAAAGTACTAAATATTATATTACATATATATTTCATTAAATTTATCTACTAAAAATAATTTGAAATTGCATTTTGGAATATTGGGAATTAAAAAAACTTTATCAAAACTAAATCAAATCATGTTTTTTTACTAAATTTTCTCACAAGATTAATGAAAGATTTTTGGGATTTTGAAAAAATTTTATTCTAGAAAATATTTGTCAACGATTTTTGGAACTTATCTTCCGTTTTTATCCCTCCCAGCTGATCTTTTCATCTATGTTTATAGAATAAAAATAACCTGCTGTTAAGCCCTCTGACTTTTTAACACATTTGGTCAAATAACTCCATGACAAATAACAGCAGGTTATCTCAATAGTTCTGTTAAATCAGTGATGATTATATACAAAGACCTTTGCGTACCTGCTGTCATTGTTCAGCTGATATTTGTCTAATTGTCTAAGAAAGTCAATAGGGGAGAGAAAGTCAATCGAATAAAAGAAACTAATGTATAACTGGCGTGTTTTCGAATTTATTCAATTATTTATTTAAAATCTAACTGCCTCAAATCTAATAAAAAAAAACTGCCGACGGCGTTTGCAATTAATCAAGGAAAAGTTGATCAGATTGTTATTAACTTTCTTATAGAAAAGTTGATCAGAATCAACTTTTGCTAAGTAAAGTTCTTTATATTCAGATCAAGTTTTCGTAAGAAAAGTTATTCAAGTTATTCTGATCAAGTTTTCTAAAGAAAAGTTATAAAGATCCCGATAAACTTTTCTATAGAAAAGTTGAACTTGAGATTCTGACTTCAGATTCTGATAAACTTTTCTTTGGAAAAGTTCATCAAATTCTGATCAACTTTCCTATGGAAAAGTTCTTCAGATTTTGATCAACTATTCTATGGAAAAGTTCTTGAGACTCTGATCAACTTTTCTATAGAAAATTTATATAATTTCATATTTTGATTAACTTCTCTAAGAAAAGTCCTTCAGATTCTAATTAACTTATTTAAAGAAAAGTTTTTCAGATTCTGATCAACTTTTCTATAGAAAAGTTTTTCAGATTCTGATCAAGTTTTCTAAGAAAAGTTCTTCAGATTCCGATCAACTTTTTTTTAAAGAAAAGTTCTTCAGATTCTTATCAACTTTCCTATGGATAAGTTCTTCAGATTTTGATCAACTTTTCTATGGAAAAGTTCTTGAGACTCTGATCAACTTTTCTATAGAAAATTTATACAATTTCATATTTTGATTAACATCTCTAAGAAAAGTCCTTCAGATTCTGATTAACTTATTTAAAGAAAAGTTTTTCAGATTCTGATCAACTTTTCTATAGAAAAGTTTTTCAGATTCTGATCAAGTTTTCTAAGAAAAGTTCTTCAGATTCCGATCAACTTTTTTTAAAGAAAAGTTCTTCAGATTCTTATCAAGTTTCCTATGGATAAGTTTTTCAGATTTTGATCAACTTTTCTATGGAAAAGTTCTTGAGACTCTGATCAACTTTTCTATAGAAAATTTCATCATATTTTGATTAACTTCTCTAAGAAAATTTCTTCAGATTCTTTCTATGTAAAATTTTTTCAGATTCTGATCAACTTTTCTATGGAAAAGTTCTTCAGATTCTGATTAACTTATTTAAAGAACAGTTTTTCAGATTCTAATCAAGTTTTCTAAAAAAGGTTCTTCAGATTCTGATCAAGTTTTCTAAGAAAAGTTCTTCAGATTCTGATCGTTACTTTTATAGAAAAGTTCTTCAGATTCTGATTTTTCTATCAAAAAAATTCTTCAGTTTACTGACGAAAAGGTTTTTATATTCTTATCAACTTCTCTTAAGAAAAGTGCTTCAGATTCTGATCAACTTTTCTAAAGAAAACTTCCTCAGATGCTCATAAACTTTTCTAATAAAAGCTCTTCTGAAACTGATCCACTTTTCTGCAGAAAAGTTCTTCAAAAAAAGTTCTTTTCCAAATTAACGCTTCCTCAGATTCTGATAAACTTTTCTAAAGAAAAGTTCTTCTGAAACTGATCAACTTTTCTACAGAAAAGTTCTTCAGATTCTTATCAACTTTTCTATATAAAACTTCCTCACATTCTGATCACCTTTTCTAAAAAAAGTTATTCGAAAACAAAAAATTTTGTACCGTCGGCAAAAGGAACACTTTATTTCTATAATCCAATAAGAATTCACTCAGAATCACACTTACCTTTCCACCAACTTTCAGCTCATAACCCATACCCTGTGGTGTTTTCAATTGTACGGGACACACGAAACCGATATCACGATGAGGACTATCAAGACCAGCATAATTTTTACGTGTCGTAACCTTAGGCACCATACGTGTAGGAGAAGGCGTTGAAGAAGTAGTATTCTCCGCTACACATAAAGCCTCTCCACCATGTACAGGAAATTTTGAACATTCTAAATTTTCGGGCCAATTAAAGTTATAAGTTTTCATAAGAGTCTCACAAACACGAGCCGATTCACATAACGAACGACAAGGTGGTATGGGTTGTTCAAGTATCGTACAAACGGGAACATATAGAGAGCATAGGAATAATTGTAAATCGGGTGAGCAGCCAATTTTGACTAGAGGAGCAAATTGATGAACCTCTAAACCGGCTTCTTCCTGTTTAGTATGACCTATTAGATTGGGCATAATGGTCATATTGTAGGGAATATTTTTACAGATAGAAATTGTTATGGCTTCACAGCGATTGTGATGAGGAAAGGCATCACTGGGTAGAGAAGAAGAGGAGCCAAAAACTTCACCCGAACTAGAGGTGCGATAATAGGGATTACTGGTATCCAATGAGGAAGACTGATCGTAACGATGAACCGCCTTTGTGGAGGGGGAATTTAATATTAACAGGACCATAAAATGTAAGAAATATCGGGGTGTGCAAATTATTTTTGTTAAAGGCGACATTTTGGTTTGAATTTTCTGATAAATTTTTAACACTTTTTATTTTAAATTTAATAAATTTTTTTTTTAAATTTTTTGTTTAAAATTTTTTTTCTTTATTTTTGAATTTGATCCACAGGCTTCATTTTTATTGATTTTGCTTTGTGGCTTTCTTTGTGATTTTTGCTTTATTCCTTTTTTTTCTTTTTTGCTTTACACTTGTTTGGTATTTTTTCTTCTTTTGCTTTATATTTTTCCTTTCTTCACTTTATTAACACTTGTTGTTTAACAAAATTTTCTTTTTGTAATTTGTTTGCTTTTGTTAAATTTCTTTATTATTTTTTTTAATTTCTTTTTAATTTTTTCTTTACATTTAATTTAATATTTCTTCACTTAAAAAAAAATGTCGTCGGCCTTTTTCTATATTTCTTTAAGATTTTTTTTTCTTATATTCTTTTCTTTATTTCTTATTTATTTTCTTTTGTTCACTTAATAAAAAGCACCGTAATCCATTAAGAGTGTGATTTCAGACAAAAAAAAAACATCATCTTAAGAACGACCGTAAAACAAATTCGTTTTGTTTTTTCTTTATTTTTGAATTTAAATTCAAATAAAATTCTACCGTTTTACTTTTTAATAACAACCGAACGCATTGAAACCCGCTGACAAACTAAAATCATCATCATTATCATCAGCGTAAGAATAATCAACAACAAAACAAGTTTCAACACTCAACATACTGAATACAAAAACAACAACACCAACAAATACTCAACAAATGAAAAGAAAACACAACAACAGCAAGGCTTGTGGAGGAGAGTGTTTACTAAACACTCACTAAATGGGGAATCGTGCAAAGTTGCTGTTGTTGTTGCTGTTTAAAGTTTGTTTACTAAATTTTCTACAGCTGAATAAAGAGCTAAAGAGTAGTTATCAGCAGCTGAGAGAGATGGAATTGGTGTAATTATGTTAGTTTAATGAATGTTTAATAACCAGTTAACATAGCCATTTAAATGTTAATTACTGCCCTAACAGAGTATTTGTAATGTTAAGTTATTAGTAACATAATTTCAAAATGTTATTGATTAAATAACATGAATTTCTCATGTTATTTATAAATTACACAGGAAATTTATGTTATTTAATAGAATTCGTAAGGAAATGCCTAAAATTACAACGTTAGAGTTCATTTTAGTTCTGTTCTGGTTCTTTTCTAGTTCTGTTCTAGTTCTGTTGTAGTTCTGTTCTAATTCTATTTTAGTTCTGTTCCAGTTCTTTCTAGTTCTGTTCTAGTTCTGTTCTAGTTCTGTTCTAGTTCTGTTCTAGTTCTGTTCTAGTTCTGTTCTAGTTCTGTTCTAGTTCTGTTCTAGTTCTGTTCTAGTTCTGTTCTAGTTCTGTTTCTAGTTCTGTTCTAGTTCTGTTCTAGTTCTGTTCTAGTTCTGTTCTGTTCTATTTCTGTTCTAGTTCTGTTCTAGTTCTGTTCTAGTTCTGTTCTAGTTCTGTTCTAGTTCTATTCTAGTTCTGTTCTAGTTTGTTCTAGTTCTGTTCTAGTTCTAGCTCTGTTCTAGCTCTGCTCTAGATCTAGTTCTAGTCTGTTCTAGTTCTGTTCTAGTTCTGTTCTAGTTCTGTTCTAGTTTGTTCTAGTTTAGTTCTGTGCTAGTTCTGTTCTAGTTCTGTTCTAGTTCTGTTCTAGTTCTGTTCTAGTTCTGTTCTAGTTCTGTTCTAGTTCTGTTCTAGTTCTGTTCTAGTTCTGTTCTAGTTCTGTTCTAGTTCTGTTCTGTTCTAGTTCTGTTCTAGTTCTGTTCTAGTTCTTCTAGTTCTAGTTCTGTTCTAGTTCTGTTCTTTCTAGTTCTGTTCTATGCTGTTCTAGTTCTGTTCTAGTTCTGTTCTAGTTCTGTTCTAGTTCTGTTCTAGTTCTGTTCTAGTTCTGTTCTAGTTCTGTTCTAGTTCTGTTCTAGTTCTGTTCTAGTTCTGTTCTAGTTCTGTTCTAGTTCTGTTCTAGTTCTGTTCTAGTTCTGTTTCTAGTTCTGTTCTAGTTCTGTTCTAGTTCTGTTCTAGTTCTGTTCTAGTCTGTTCTAGTTCTGTTCTAGTTCTGTTCTAGTTCTGTTCTAGTTCTGTTCTAGTTCTGTTCTAGTTCTGTTCTAGTCTGTTCTAGTTCTGTTCTAGTTCTGTTCTAGTTCTGTTCTAGTTCTGTTCTAGTTCTGTTCTAGTTATGTTCTAGTTCTGTTTCTAGTTCTGTTCTAGTTCTGTTCTAGTTCTGTCTAGTTCTGTTCTAGTTCTGTTCTAGTTCTGTTCTAGTTCTGTTCTAGTTCTGTTCTAGTTCTGTTCTAGTTTGTTCTAGTTCTGTTCTAGTTCTGTTCTAGTTCTGTTCTAGTTCTGTTCTAGTTCTAGTTCTGTTCTAGTTCTGTTCTAGTTCTGTTTCTAGTTCTGTTCTAGTTCTGTTCTAGTTCTGTTCTAGTTCTGCTCTAGTTTGCTCTAGTTCTGTTCTAGTTCTGTTCTAGTTCTGTTCTAGTTCTGTTCTAGTTCTGTTCTAGTTCTGTTCTAGTTCTGTTCTAGTTCTGTTCTAGTTCTGTTCTAGTTCTGTTCTAGTTCTGTTCTAGTTCTATTCTAGTCAGTTCTAGTTCTGTTCTAGTTCTGTTCTAGTTCTGTTCTAGTTCTGTTCTAGTTCTGTTCTAGTTCTGTTCTAGTTCTGTTCTAGTTCTGTTCTAGTTCTGTTCTAGTTCTGTTCTAGTTCTGTTCTAGTTCTGTTCTAGTTCTGTTCTAGTTCTGTTCTAGTTCTGTTCTAGTTCTGTTCTAGTTCTGTGCTAGTTCTGTTCTAGTTCTGTTCTCGTTCTGTTCTAGTTCTGCTCTAGTTCTGTTCTAGTTCTGTTCTAGTTCTGTTCTAGTTCTGTTCTAGTTCTGTTCTAGTTCTGTTCTAGTTCTGTTCTAGTTCTGTTCTAGTTCTGTTCTAGTTCTATTCTAGTTCTGTTCTAGTTCTGTTCTAGTTCTGTTCTAGTTCTGTTCTAGTTCTGTTCTAGTTCTGTTCTAGTTCTGTTCTAGTTCTGTTCTAGTTCTGTTCTAGTTCTGTTCTAGTTCTGTTCTAGTTCTGTTCTAGTTCTGTTCTAGTTCTGTTCTAGTTCTGTTCTAGTTCTGTTCTAGTTCTGTTCTAGTTCTGTTCTAGTTCTGTTCTAGTTCTGTTCTAGTTCTGTTCTAGTTCTGTTCTAGTTCTGTTCTAGTTCTGTTCTAGTTCTGTTCTAGTTCTGTTCTAGTTCTGTTCTAGTTCTGTTCTAGTTCTGTTCTAGTTCTGTTCTAGTTCTGTTCTAGTTCTGTTCTAGTTCTGTTCTAGTTCTGTTCTAGTTCTGTTCTAGTTCTGTTCTAGTTCTGTTCTAGATCTGTTCTAGACATTTTTCCCTCAATTCCACTAACGCAGCACAGAAACATGTCAGCACACTGTTAGCTTCGTACAGAGTTAGTAGTATTCTTATTGAGTACTTAACAGTCTATCACACTGTTATAAACATGTACACAAAACAAGTGTATAACATTTAAATTCATTTAAGCCAAAAAAACCTGTTATCACAACATATTCAGCATAGTGATGGAGAGAGAATTACAGAGAGAGAAAAAAACTTGTACATCTTGTTTTGCCGGCTTTTGTTTTGTTTTTCTTTCTTTTTTGTATTTTTTTCATCTGCAAATACAAAAGAAGCAGCAGCTTCTTTTTTATTTATTTTTTTCAATTTCATTGTCGTTACAACAACAACACCAACAAAAGCAGTAAGCAGTAACAACAACATATGTTGGAGTTGTTTAATATTTGTTGTTTGTTTTTTATTTTTCTTATTTACTGTTTTTTGCACACAATGAAGGACGGTAAACAATTGAACATAATGATGAATGGTTTACATCATCATAATGTTTAACTTCATTATAATGTTTATGTTTTCAAAATAATGATGTTGTTAATTTTTGTTGTAGAAAAAAAGGAAACAAACAAATCGTTAAGAATTAGAAATAGAAGAAAAGTAGAAAAAGTAAATAACAACAAATAAATCTAGCCACAACAACAATAGCAAACTTGATTACACACTATTATGTTGGAGTTGGATTCTAGTAGAAACAAAGGCATTTTTTTTTGAAAAGGCTCTATGTTGGTGTATTTTTCTTATTGTTTTTATATAAAACTTCAGCATTTTTTTGCTGCTGAGAGGGGCAATCGCAAGTTAACGAACTTATTTGTTTGGGAAGACAAACAAAAGTTGCTAACTATTCAAAAAGTTAAAGGGAAGAGTATTAAACAATTTTTTTAAAATAAATAAAAAAAATCAATATTGAAAAATCAATTTGAAAAAAAGTTAACAAAAAAATAAATTAGATATATTTTTTTTTAAATTTATGAACTTTTATCATTATTTTTAAAAAATTTTAATAAAAATAAATTTTTATAAATTTAAAAAAACAACTCTAACGAACAATATTTTAGCCAAGGTCAGAGAAGTTAACAGAATGTTAACCAGTAGTTTTAACAGAAAAACACAATGTTACGCTTCTCTTGATACAGAGAAGATTTTTACGATATTTTATAAACATTTAATTTAACAAGAATTTTAAAATGTTATTAACATCACATGATTATTAGCAGCTTTATATAAAGCAGTTTTCAATATCTATAGTCAATATCTATAGTCTATAGCCTAGTCTATGGTCTAGTCTGTAGCCTATTCTTTAGTCTAGTCTATAGCCTAGTTTTTAGTCTAGTCTGGTCTATAGCCTAGTCTATGGTCTAGCCTATAGCCTAGTATATGGTCTAGTTTATAGTATATAATCTAGTTTATAGTCTATTCTAGTCTATAGTCTAATCTATAGTCTAGTCTATAGTCTAGTCTATAGTCTAGTCCTATAGTCTAGTCTATAGTCTAGTCTATAGTCTAGTCTATAGTCTAGTCTATAGTCTAGTCTAGTCTAGTCTATAGTCTAGTCTATAGTCTAGTCTATAGTCTAGTCTATAGTCTAGTCTATAGTCTAGTCTATAGTCTAGTCTATAGTCTAGTCTATAGTCTAGTCTATAGTCTAGTCTA